GCTTACGTTTCATTTTTTATTATTTCCAAATGAAACTCTTGCAGCGTGCTAAACACAACGTCCACAGGGTGCTAACGATCCACTTTTTCGATTTTATCCAGTAGGATCTTTTTAAAATATCAAGAAGTTGAGCATAAATAGTAATCATTTCAACCCTACATAATTCTTGCGCAAAGACAAAATTTTGTAAAACTCTCTGATAGCACCGTAGGCAATTATGTCCTGCTTATATCCAGAAAAACATCACAAACTGCAGAAACCAAATTGAACGTAACGGCTAAATGGGTACATTTCACGGGTCATGAAATTCAAAAGAAAATGCAGGTATAAAATCTACCAAATTATCGTTCTCACAAACATATTTCCTTGACATATCGATAATTTTAAAGTTCCAGGCTAAATTCCTCTATACTTGACTGGAGTGATATCCGAATTCACTCTTCCCTACTGTCGGCAGTTGCAGATAGATCTGTTGGCTCTTCGTGTCAAACCTATAGAGCAGGTACCGATTTTTTCAAATCGTGAGACATTATTTGTCGGAATAATAGAATGTGTTCCACTGATATCAAAGATGCAACATTTAGAATCACCTTCCCCCAACTCCCACTTTTTAGGCAGTACAATTTTTTTCTGTCAATGATAAGGAACCCCTGTAACGTCAAAAACGGATTTTCAGCAATTGTTACTTTTTCTCTTTTGCCTATAGCACCGTTGCCACTGGACTAAAACTATAAAGCTTTCTCATACTAGTAACCCCATGTGGAAATTTCATAAAAATCCGGTTATTTCCAAGTTGATGAATGATACATGTTTTCGTGATGTAGATGTTATATGACTTAAAAAAACATAACATCTCATTTTAGAAATTTTTCGCGATTACAATACTTCCTCGCCAATGACGTTGGAAGTAAAATGGCTTTAAAATCGAGGAGTATCAGCGATCGCGATTATGAGTACCTATTTGCAGAACGACTTATCTACGCGATATTATATGAAATAGGCCCTCCAAATTATCTGAATGCGTCCTTTCTTAGTCCGTACTTGCGCCGCAACGCTTAGGTTGGCAGCACGAAACAGTAGACAAAATTCGTCCAAAATACGATTTGTAGAGGTTTGCGCGCTTCGAAATTGACGTCTTATTTTTTGATATTTTTGGATGAAATTTTCACAGAGTGCTGAAAACAAAACCCCACAGGGTGCTATAGAGCCACTTTTTCATTTTTTTCACTAGGATCTTTTTAAAAAAATCGCGAAGTTGAACAGAGAAAGTACGCACTTCAACCCATCATAAAACTTGTGCAAAAACAAAATTTCAAAAAGTGCTCCTATAGCACCCTGGGCAATTATCTTTTCAACATACTGTATGAATTTCATTCAAAAATATTGAAAAATGGAGTGTCAGTTTTGAAGCAGCTGAACCCTTGTAAATGGCTTGAAACTCACTGCGTCGGAGCCGCCTTAAGGTCCCATAATTAGCTGGGAAAGAATTACATAACTTGACAGTCTTAGAGGTAAACGGCCTTTCAAAAACTGACGTACGATGTATAGGAATGCAAAGTCTCTGCTTTAAAGTAATTTGGATTCCAGGAGGAATCAACTTATCGAGTAAACAAACCGGTTTATCAGTTTTAAAACTTCTATGCCCCCATAAAACCATAGAATAATTGAATAAACATTCAACTCTGAGCCACTGCAACTACTTGATTTTTGAAGAAATGCTACAATACTTTCTAAGACCAAATATGAATTTGCAACAGTTGTTCTGAAGCCTTGATACTATTCACAGGTAAGTTAAATCTAAGATTTGAATCAAATATAACACCTAGATTCTTATCTTTATAAAAAAATGGAAAATTAGTGTGGTTGATAAATAAAGAGACGCGATTTATGATATTGCAATTTGCATATTTAGGACGGTATGGTATCGGGGTACATTTTGACGGATTGATGTGGAGACAGTGTCTATTACAATACGTAGATGCGTGATCAACATCTATATATATATATATATATATATATACGTAATAAAAGACGTCCCAGTACTGAACCCTGAGGAACTCGTGATGAAACATACTGTGCATCAGAAGTTCCTCTAGATGTTTTTACTTATTCAAAAGAACTTCTGACATGCCATAAGACTTTGGCTTACTCAAAAGTATCTCATGGTTGACCGTATCGAAAGTTTCGGAAATTTGGATTTGTTGTCAAGGTTGTGAAGTATCTCATCTGCAAGGTGTAGTGAGGCAGTAGTTGCAAACAACACACTGACTGACCGGTCCTGCACGATACCGAGATCATGCGAATTATGCTTGCCAGGGGCGAACGAGGGTTTTTAAAAAAATACTTTTATTTCGCGCTGATGAATCTAACTACCACTACAATAGTTGATAGCTATCTGATTGCCAAACAAAAGGTACAACGGTTTTTATAGTCGAATAATATTAATAAACACATAAGCTAATTCTCAAGAAGCATGGAGGACGCATCAGGTTGCATGTATAATTCCAAGTGTTCTAACAACGGGAATAGAAGGATATAGTGGATACCAAATAAAACCCGATGCACGTCATCGATCTGGAGCTGTGCGCTGTTGCCAGAATTTGCACATTTTCTTTTAAGCAAATAAATTTAATAAAATAAATTGTTTATATATACCTACCATTTACTATAATACCATTATATTAAAAATAAATAAACTTGTTGTAAAATTAAATTCCTTTCTGAATAAAAACAGCTGATTTCGGTAGATATTCAATGATATGAGCTCTTTATACCGATTGTTAAGTTGTTTTGGCATTTTGGATACTTTACACCACTTCACAGTAACTGTTGTTCTGAAAAGAACAATTTTTAATTGGCAAGGCAACGATTCAAAGCTCAAATAGCGCAAAACTCGCAAACTAAACAATAAAGAACTAATAGTAGACAGTCTACGACAAAAGGACAATGCCAACTGATGTCAACAAATGAGAAGTGGCAACCTCACATTTCTCTACACGGCACTACCAACCGAATCGAGACGGGGAAATTTAAACTTCAAGTAGAAATGTCACATTGAATGTAGTCAACTGTTGGTAACCATGATTTTTATGAATGACATCACCTATGACGTGCATCGGATTTTATTTGGTATCCACTATACAAGACAACGCCAAGATGATGCAATATAATAATTATTATACAGGGTGTCCGCAAAGTTGGGGTTTTCCTTTTCAGAAACAACTACCCTTGAAATAACAAAGGTAATGTGTAGTGAAATGAGGGCGACCAAGTAAAAAAAAATAAAGGAAAAAGTACTCACTCTCCAGTTGACGAGAAGGGCTAAGTACGTCTCTGCCCGAAATCATACCGCATTGATTGTCTTACACTTAATGGCACATCTTCTAACAGGTAAGGCAAAATGTTGCGTAAAAAGTCTAGGTATTGCATCCCGTCCAATCGATTTGGGAGAATAAATGGTCCAATGAGCATACCGATCACCATGCCAGCCCAAACATTCACCGAAAATGTTTGTTGAAAATGTGTCCGACGGACAGCGTGCGGATTTTCTACTGACCAAACATGAGTGTTGCGAAAGTTATTCACCCCATTACGCGTGAACGTAGATTCGTCTGTCACCAATATGCACTTCAAAAAGTCCGGATTATTGTCATGTTGATGCAACAACCACTCACACAACCGCACTCTCGCTGGAAAATCGTCAGGTTGAAGGGCTTGTACACGTTGGACGTGAAACGGATACACCCCCTCTTCACGCAGCGTTTGCCACACTTTAGTTTTTGATACTTGCACTTCTCTAGCCACGTCTCTAGTGCTTGTTGAGGGATTCTCGTCTATGCGATTACCTCTACAGGCGTGACCGTAACCGTCGGTTGAAGGTTGCATACTGACCTGACACACTGACCCCGACTCAGTTCTGTCGTTGAGCCAGTGACATTGTACCACTCCGTGATGTCGCGGCTACAGGACGGTATTCAGATATGTTTGATGTTACAGAGCCCTTTATATCGGTTCTCTTAAGAGATTGGTGTATATGGTACTAAGAAAAATTGCTTATGTTTTCAAGATCTACACGTCGTGTAAAGGGAAACCCCAACTTTGCGGACACCCTGTATTGTATAAAGTGGGCTAAAGTACATAAATGGCAGGAAGGGCCAGCCGGGCGATACTGTCAGAAACACAGAAGTCGCTGTCAGACATACAGAAGTCGAATGCTTCGCCACCTTAAGACCAAACCCTTGTATCTTGTATTATTTTCTCACAAGACCAATATCATAGTGGCTTTGAGGTGTCAATGTACTCGACTCCGCAATACTATGAAAAGATCAAAATTTTAATGTTACCAAAGTTCCTAAATATTCTTCCAACATCCATTAACAAAATCCCAATGCATTCTTGGGGATATTGTTATTGTATAACCCTTGTTTTTAATTGTTGAATAAGTGAGCGATCAATCTGAATTTAAACTGACGTGGCGAGCTCAGTGAGAGAAGCATGAGCGCCTGCAGGAATTTTTCGAGGCAGGGTCAATCATCGGAAAGAGATAACTTTTTGTGAAACTGTACTTGCCTCCAAAGCTTTCTAAAGAGCGGGAGGTAGCAAATTTTCTCAGCAGTGACCAAATCCTAAAAATCCTCAAGATTATACACAGTCGTCATGCTAAATACGCAAATTTCAAGGTTCAACTAGATTCCCAGGGGCCTCTGCATAGAAGTGTGGAACACGGAGCATTCTTTCTAGCATAAGTATTGCACGCCGTTGGCGTAATTATCTGACAAGCTTTGCGACAATGTCACAACACAGTTACAAACATAAATGTACCCGGAAAATTCAAACTGTACGTTCCAATTTAGGATTGATTAAGGTTGGCATTCAAATTTACTAAATATGACGTAACTGCTTTGTTTCAGTGAATAAACTATATAAGGTGTAGATTTGTGACCCGACAAAAACGTGAAAAGACATCTAGCTGACACCAATATGGACAGAAACGCTGGTGGTACGATAGATAAAACATTTATTTTCACATATATGATACATAACAAATTTATAAAACCTCCACAAATTGTATAAAGAAACCTAGACATAACAAATGCATTTCTTTTTTGAATTACTCAATCACACTTCACATGTACTACTTCATCAGAGACTTAAGCATATTCTCCAACTTCAAAGAATCAGCAGCAAAGTTCCTTATTCCAGAAGACAGTTTGTCTGAAGCCATCGCGTCCTCGTTGAGCATCCACCTGAATTTCGCTTCATTGAGTTCGATTTTCTCGATTTGCATCTTTTTCGCAGATTCCGGAGACAGTTTCCTGGGAACAGGGTCGTTGCTGGCCTCCAGTTCTCCCAAAAGTTTTGGGCTGATTGTTAGTAAGTCACATCCGGCCAACTGCTTGACTTCCTCTGGAAGAGAAACAACAATTTTACTCAATAATTCGAAATTGATTGGAGCAGGCGAACAACCATTGTTATCAAACTCAAGAGCAGTAACTAAACCTCGCGTACGTAAAGAACGTAGAAGTATACGATGAATATCCCCGTGTGGAATCCATTTGGAGTGTAAAAAGCGAACTAAGGAACGAATCTCGCACTTGGCGGGAACAAAAATATGAACCTCCATATCGAACGGCTGCTGAGCCAAGAACAGCCGCGCGCATCGGTGTTGCCGGATTCCGTTTCGTGACGGACCTCTTTGGGAACGTTATTCCTGCATCAACCCTCGTACATCAAGTATGGTGAGAGCATACTGCATAATATATTGTTATTAGAAACTTGTTGGGTATTCCAAGTAATATAATTCACCGGAAATGTTGCGCTAGGCAGAGGAATGACTGAGGTACCTTGCAGTACCTATCAATATACATTTTTAGACAGAATAATCTTAATCATCCTGAAATCAAGTTGTGTTACTAAGGGCGCAAAAGCCCGAAATAGATAAAACTATTACATTACGAAAAACTATGTCACTATTTTCCGTTGGTCTGCCTGTCGGTTCCCTAATCCAATGGCCTCTCTATGTCTGGAAGCACCCCTCCGATACTGAAATGATGAAGCAAGGACAAAACAATTTTTAGGTTTAGAAAATGGACCCACTGGAGGCGGAGCTATGGGCAAAAATGAAAAAATTACGTTTTGGAAACTCCTGCCCAATTTTTGAGTTTTTTGTAGGGCATAAATTGAAGGTGTCTCAATTTTTCATCCGACTGCCTCAAAAGGAGGATAATGTTTTCCGTACGAGTGCGGTCCGACGTACTTAGCCTTTACTATAGATTCTTGTAGACGGTAGTTTTGTTTAGAGTGTCGAAGCGGGCGTGTCCGCGGATTTTAGAAAAATGGAAAAAGAGCAATATTGGTTGATGATTCGATTTTAATTTTTGGAAGGGTAAGTTAGCAGCGAAATCAAAGAGCGCTTGTATGCTGTGTACTCTTCTCCTTCGATAGCGACCTTCAAAAATTGGTTGAAGGAGTTTCAACGTGGACGCACGTCGATTTTTGATGAGCCACCGTTTTCTGGGATTAACAAGGTATGATTCTACATCGACTACCTGGAGGAGGCTCACAAGGCTCTACTATGCCGAATTATTGGGCCGATCCGACGCCGAATTGCAGAAAAATGGCCCCATTTGGCGAAGAAAAACGTGCTCTTCCACCACGTCAGCGCAGAGGCAAATTGGTTGAAGTAGCCTACGAATTGCTGCCCCATCCACTGTATTCTCCAGATTTGGCTCCGTGCGACTTCTGTTTTGTTTCCAAACTTGAAAGAGTCACTCGCCGGGCAGAAATTTGAGTCGAATGAGGAGGTTATCGCCGCCGCCATGGAGGCCTACTTTGCAGATCTCCAGAAAACGTATTTTTCAGACGGGTTAAAGAAGTTGGAGCATCGCTGGGTCAAGTTATCAAGCTAAAAGGAGACTGTGTTGAGAAATAATTCGTCACTTTTCAAAAATGTGCGTTTTCATTTTATCTGATCGCCCTCGTATTTATGTATCAAAAAATTGTATTTTAATGAGGTATTTCAATGTTCAAGTTTGAAAGTACTTCACGGGCTACAGCTTAAATGGTTTGGTAGATTTTGACATATTGAGATGCCGGTTTAGTTTTACCAACGCGAGTGACACTGGCTAGATTAACATTTTATGGTAAAAAATGGCCGAAAATAATAAAAAAATTTAACATTGAAATTCCTATTTTACAGTCTACAGCTTAAACGGCTCAGTGGATTTTGATATATGAGGTATTGTTAATTTCGTATCAACAGTGTTAGTGACACCAGCTATATTAAAATTTTATAAAATTAAAACAACCGATTTTAATCGAAAAATTCAAGATTGAAATTTCTATTCCACAGGCTACAGCTTAAACAACTTGGACTTCGACATATGATGTATCTCTAGATTTATAAATTAAACATATTCCGCACAAATTTCTCCGTAGACTTACGCTTAAGATTAAACGTGATTAAATATTTTCAACACACGCGTCGAGCGCAATGAAGATTCAGGATACCTTTCATAAGTTGGAAACTGTCACAGGTGAAGTTTACTGGGATTGGGTTTACTTGAGTTTATGTAGGATATAGTAGATATTTTAAATCGCAACGTTGTCAAATGGAACATCCGAAACTTATCCTGTGGTTTTTGTCTGATAACACCCATGTTTGTCTGGCTGAATCAAAGCATGTATATTTTTAAATTTCCTCCTCATTGAACGACCTTTCGGCCCCAACGTCCTACAATAAAGAAGTCTTAAACATACAGTAGCGGACAAAAGTTTGGAAACATTCTTAGTGATTTTTAAGTGCGCTAATTTTTTATTCTATTATTAGGGACTATTTTTCTCTCATATAATTTGCTCACAGTATTGACCATTTGTGTTTGCTTTGGTACTACAGACTAGCATTAAAATACCTTCATATGATTTTATGACCGAAAATGAGACGACAAAAGTATGGACATATTTTTTATTACAAAATTAAATACAATAACTATAGAAAAAGATTTAAAAAATACTGTTTAGCTAATATTTGGTAGCATAGCATTCAACACTGCCTGGCATCTGCTGCCCATAGAAGACACCAATTTTTTACAGACGTCTGTTGGGATATTTTGCAAATATTTTTTACATAATCAAATGAACCGTTCCTATTTTTAAAAGTTTTTCTTGTCAGTTTTCCTTTAATGCTCCCAGAGATGTTCTATAGGGTTTAGGTCCGGGGATTGCGAAGGCCATGTAAGAACATTAACATTTTTTAGTCTTAACCAGTACTTTACGAATTTTGGTGCATACTTGGTGTCATTATCTTGTTGGAATGTCCATCGTAAAGGCAGCATGTGTTCACTAAGAATATCTTTGTAAAGTTTTTTATCCATTTTCCCAACAATTTTAACAATTGGGCCTGTTCCAGAACTAGAAAAACAGCAACAAAACCATGATGTTGCCTCCACCGTGCTTAACTGTTGTCAACTGATACTTTTTGTCGAATCTTTTTCGTATTGGACGTCTCACATTTGCCGTACCGTTAGATCCAAAGAAGTTAAATTTGCTTTCATCGCTCCATAAAACTATTCCATTGTTGTTCTGTCCAAGTTAGATGAGTTTTAGCAAATCCAAGAAGAGCAATACTTTTTTTTTAAATGAGAGGCTTTTGCTTTGCGTCTCTGCACTGTTCTGACAGAAAGATTCTCGGCACCCTTTTTTACGACACTTTCGAAAATCTATGTGGCGGGCATTCGAGGATCTTCGTTGGACAAACGTTTAATGTAGCGATCCAAAACATAACCGTTTTTTTTTCGGTCTTCCGCACCTGGGCCGCGTTGCTGTTGAACCGTATTCTTGATGTTTACTAATAATTTTCGAAATCGTCCCTTTGTTCAGTTTTAATCTTTGAGAATATTTACCGCACGCAATATCAGAGTATCGCGGAACGAATAAATACGGCAAAACTAAAATGTTTCCATACTTTTGTCGTTACAAAAACTGTGGTATTTAAAAAAAAACGCATGTTTTTATTTCCAAAGAATTTGAATATTGATAAGATAAACCTTGGAAGCCAAAGGTAGACTTTAATATTTATATTATCTGTTCCTTCACAATTTTAATTTAGGTATATGAAATAGTTCATAATAATGTTAAAATATTTGTTTCAAAACTTTTGTCCGCTACTGTATATGTGATTCAGCCAGACAAACATGGGGGGTTGTTATCAAATTAATTGGGACTGAGGACTGATTATTTTACGGGTCTATTATACTGACTTATTTAATTCCTTTGCTAGACATATCCCAAGTTAAATTTATGCTAATAGGGGCTACCTTGCACCAGAAATGTTTTATGAATGGATGACAGCATTAAGTGGGCAGTGCAGAGTCAACCTACTTGACGCCATTTTTTGTATAGTTTCGGATTTCGTAAAAAGGTGTTTAGAATATGTTATGTTTTTTTGATATCTAATTAAAGAAGTTTTGTCAGTATTAGTACCTTTTTAGGTGACGGTAGACATTATGTTGATTAATACACGTATGAACATGTTTCTCCAATTTATGACTATTTTGGCAGTACATCTGTTTTTTCAAATCACAATTTGTTAAGGAAACATAAGCAACTTCAAACTCACCAATATTTCTGAAAGAAGCACCCATAACGACGGTCTTGTAACCGTATTTCTTATAGTAATTGTAGATCTTGGTGACAGAGATAACACCGGGATCTTCAGGTCCAGAGTAGGATTTTTTGTCGGTGTTCGCGACATACCAATCCAAGATTCTGCCAACGAAAGGCGAAATTAATGTGACTCCAGCTTCCGCACACGCTACTGCTTGCGCAAAGTTGAACAGCAAAGTCAGATTGCAGTGGACGGTGTGTTTCTCTTCCAGGATTCTGTAAGATAATGTTTATTGTTTAGAGACAAATTGAACATGTGGATTGAGAAAAGAGTTTGAAGCAAAAAAGCATAGTGGTATGTATCTTCATGTCTATACTAATCGAGAAGCTATTCAAAATATAATTTTCAAAATATAGCACCATAACTCAGTCAAAACTCGAAAATTGAACTTAGCCATAATGAAATCTAGTGCAATCTAGTGTTGATAGAAATTGATATCAAAAACAAAAATCTCATGTACAGTATATTCACTGAATCAAAGCAGTTACGTCACAACGTCAAATAATGACAGTGACGCACATGGTTGCCACATTAATTAAGACTACTAGATCCTAGGATGTTTTACAAAATCTAGTTTTGAAAAAAACTGTTTTTATAAAATAACAATGCAATTATTGAGGCAAAAAAAAACGAAAATAACCACAAATAAACAACAGCATTTGGCGTAATTATTACACCTAAGAAGCTTTGCGAAAATGTCACAACACAGAAAACTGTTACCAACGTAAATGTACCCGGGAAATTCAAACTATACGTACCAATTTATGATTTATTTTGCATTAAGGTTGGCATTCAAATTTACTGAATATGTCGTAACTGCTTTGTTTCAGTGAAAGGACTAAACGATGTGTTAAAGAATTCATTTAAGGTTTAACATTTACGAAATGAGATTTGAAAATTCAATTAGTTTAAGAAATGAAGCCTCATGGTCATCTAAAATCATATTTTCGGTTCAAGATCATTTTGTCGCCTCAAAGGCTACGTGAATAACCAACACAAGACAGTGCAACTTGCCAGTCAGCCAATGTACCAATCGAACTTTTGGGTGCCATTTTCGAAAACCGAACAATCAATCGGAATCCTGATATCAATTGGCCGCCATTATGAATAAACGTTATGCAAACTATCCAGAGAGAAATGGCACAATGAAACATGAAATCGAAGTTGACATCCTAGAAATTCAAGCCCAAATAATCAAATAAGTACTAGAAAATTGGGTTAATCTGATAAGCTATTGTTGAGGCAGCAGTCCCGTGAATAACATTCTGTTTCGCTCTTATATATCAAGGTTCAACCTTGTCAATAAAACCAGACTGGAGGGGGCACAAACCTTACGGAAATCAGTCCTCGGCAGGGGCGGCTGGCCCTTAAGAGCTGCAAAACTGACAAAACTTTTGTCTTAACAGAAAAAAGCAGTAGTAATTTGATCATTATTTATTTTCCATGTTATCACACAAATAGAAACAATACCGGCAACGCTGCCCCCGCAAGACACCGCGTCGAATCTGTTTTGTACTGAGAAAGCATTATAATCGACCAATTGTGTACTTGTCATTTTCGTCGCGACCGCAGCGTAACATTATTCATGGGCCACTTGAAAAGGGTCTGTGCCCTACTTCGACACAAGCCGCACGCGCTTGCTTTTGTCTCTCTATACAAAATCAAATGCGCGATTTAAGCATAAGCATGTGCTGTAAGTTATACAGATCCGTACAGATATCTGATTGGTCGGTCGGTGCTCGGTCCTCGGGGGTATTGGCATATTGGTCTTGTCGAGTGACGGCTTAAAATTTGAATGCGAGAAATTTTTTATTTAGGTATTTTGGGTCTTACATTGAGTGACTAGTGACTCACTGACTGACTGTGCCTGTGTAGAAGGGTAGTGCAAGACAATGGATGTGGTTTACAGACTTATCAGCGTGAAACGATTCCGGAAATACACATTTGAAGAAAAAAATGAGCTGAAGGTGTTAGGTCGACCGCTGCGGGACATATTTATAGAAACACAGGGCGTTAGTCGGGGCAAGGGCTATACGCGGCATTTCAGCAGGGAGATTTACACCAGAAATGACTGGATTTGTGGCTGCAACAGGAAGAATGCCCTTTTCTGCTTTCTTTGCATACCTTTGGGCGGTGACAAAGCTTGGACGGAGGTAGGTGTCACAGATTTACTGCACTTGGGTGAAAAAATTGAGAAGCATGAAAACTCTAAAACACATCTTCATAATTCGATGGAATTGGCTTTATTGGGGACTGTTAACATCAGAGCTCGGATAGATTCAGCATATTGGAGAAATATACAACAGCATAATGATACCGTTACAAAAAACAGGTACGTTCTATCAAAAATAATAATCGATTGTATAAAATTTTGCGGAGCATTTAAATTGGCGCTACGGGGCCACGACGAAACCGAGAGCTCCCAAAACCCGGGAATATTTCGTGGACTGATTAATTTTTCTGCTGAGCTTGATACAACCTTAAGCGAATACATAAAAAATGCTTCAATATTTAAAGGAACTGCGAAAGAAATACAAAACGATCTACTGGATTGTATTCTTGAAGTTTGTCATGAAGAAATAATAAAACAGATTAACAGAGCCTCGTATTGGGCGATAATAGCAGATGAAACAACGGACATTTCTGGGAAAACCCAACTGGTAACAATTTTCAGATACGTATTTAACGGCGAACCAGTACAACGTTTTTGAAATTATAGGAATAACGAAAAATGTGACGCTGATAGATGCATTAATAGGAAATTTCCCTAACAAACTGATTTCACAAAGATATGATGGAGCCGCGATAATGAGGGGACATAATGCTGGAGTACAGGCAAAAATTAAACAAAGATATCAATTTGCTCACTATGTGCACTGTTATGCGCATCAGTTAAACCTGATTATGTCCGAAGCTGCTTCCGCAAATGCTCAAGTTCGGGTGTTCTTTGGGGATTTGAAAGATATTCCGGCTTTTTTTAATAATTCTCCTCAACGCGTAGAGGTACTGAACAGAATTGTGGGGAAAAAATTCCCCAAGAAGCAACAACTCGTTGGAATTTTAATATTCGAACAATAAATGTAGTGTTTGAGAACAGAGAATTACTCATTGAATGCATGGAAGAAATAGAAGAAAAATTCACTAATGAAACCGTTTGCAAGGCAGCTTGCGGTATTCGCCGTACGTTAAACGATTCTGTTTTCGTATTTTGGTTGACATTTTTTCATCATGTCATGCCTCACGTCGACATCTTGTTCAACCAGTTGCAGAAGAGAAAAACCGTGCAAGTGCAAGTCAAAACGGCTATCGATAATTTTGAAAAATGTATTGTCGATGTGAGAAATAAAATTGATGACGTAATAAATGAAGCCAAAAGTATTTGCACTGAACCCCAAGGCAACAAAAGGAGACGACGTAATAATAGCGGTCACGATCAGCAAATTGCCGCATTAGAAGTCTGCGACAATATAGTGAATTCTGCAAATGACAGATTTCAATTCAAAGATCATTTGGTAGCCGCATCCCCTTTTTTCCCCGAACAGTTTGGAGAATAACTGTGGTAAGTTTCCTGATGACAAGTTGGAAACTACCTGCTTGGCTTATCCCGAATTATGCACGGAATGATTGCCGAGATTTACATGGAACTCTCAAAATTGAAAAGAATCAAGACCTTTCTTCGAAATACTATGACCCAGGATCGCCTTACAGCGTTGTCGATGCTGTCCATTGAAAAGGAATTTATTTCGACCATAGAAAATTTCAACTTCGGGAATGAGTTCTCTAGAGCATCCTGGTCAAAAGTTCTCATGGACTCTTAACAATCCTATGTAGCATTTCCATAATATACTGCGTGTCCCAATCATTGCGAAAACAGAGTATTGCTCCTAACTACAAACTTATCAAGGGATATTATTTATGGATTATTATGCATGGTATCTGAGGGCACATTTTTAAAATAGTACATTTATACAGGGTGTCCCAATTTTGTCCCACATCAAAAATATTTGTTTTATGTTTTTAAAAGAACCTACCTGATTTAACCTACTTATGGCTTTTGATTATTAGTTATTGGGATATTAGATATTTTATCTAATATATTGATGAAAGTAAAACATAAGTAGTTAGAATTTCGCAGACTTAACCACTTCCACTGAAATAAAAAGTAGGTCCTTCCATTTAAAATAGGTATTTTTGATGAGGGGCAAAATTTGTACACCATGTATAATTGTATCTTAGAAATGTGCCCTCGGATACCATAAATACCCATAAATAGTTTTCTTTGGTAAGTTTTTATTTAGGACCAATAACCTGTTCTCTCAGGCTTGGGACACCTTGTATATCATGGAAATGCTTCATAGCATTGTTAACAGCCCATGAGAACTCAGGATGCTCTCCAACCTTATTCCCAAAGTTTAAGCAAACTTCACCAGGGACTGATTTCAATAAGGTTTGTGGCTCCTCCTTCAATAAAAGTTCATTGGTTTGTTTTTTATAGTGATATAAATTCTAAATCCGAAATGACTCAGGATGGTAAGGAGGAAGTATATGAACACTGAATAGCTAATAAAAACTGCATACTTCTCTTGCACTATGCAGCATTGTGGTACAGATGGTTATCTTTGAAGCCCAAGTATTTATTTATAGACTATCTGCATGAGACCTTTGGACTCTTGGTTGCTGGACATCAAAAGCCATCAATCTTTTTGGATAAAATTGTTAAAATAAACTCCCATCCCACTAGGGTTAAGCAAATGCAGTTTCTAGCACATAATGAGATGACCATTAAATTGTTTCTATGTAATTTTTGTAACCTGATTTATGAGATGACCATTAAATTGTTTCTATGTAATTTTTGTAACCTGATTTACTTAGTTCAAAAATAACTTACTTTGCTGCCTGAATTCCTTCCCATGTTGATGCCAATTTGATGAGAATTCGATCTTTACATATTCCTTGTTCTTCGTACAGCTGAATTATTTTCAAAGCTTTTGCTACACTAGCATCCTTATCAAAAGATAACCTGAAAATAACGAAATAAACCTTGTAACAAGTAATTGAGCAACTGCTAAAGGCAAAAATAAACTCTGGACACATCTCATAGCTTTCTGATAAATTTCTCTAAAGTAGAACATTCAGCACAATAAGTTTAAAGAACCTTTCTGATGATTTTGAAATAATAATAATAATACAATTTATTCGCCAAAATACAAAATTGTTTAAAAATGGGAAAATGTACGTGAAAAGGCATTGTCTGTGTGTTTGGATTATATCTTACTAACTGAAAAAATCATATTGTATAACAAATATAATTAATTCTATTGCAGTTTTTAAAACAGCTTTTTGTGCTACATTTAGATCTGAAGTATATGTCTTGCAGATGGCTCCCCAGGCTGTGATGCAGTTTATTATATGGTTTTCAACTAAGGCATGGTGCAGTATTCGGGGGTGCTTATAGGCAACATTTTAACTGTTAACACTTATCTGTTTTGTTTTTTTGTCCATGATAATTAATAGAAATCCTTTTCAGCAATTTGCTTCAATGTATTTCAGTCATCAGTTTTTCATATGGGGGTGTCATCTGCAAAACATGCGAGTATAATCTTTCCAGTACTATCATTTTTTTTTTCATTTGAATAGAGGTTATATAATAGTGGGCCTAGTAATTTCTTGAGACATATCACACTTGATGAACATTTTTTTACTGAAAGTGTTAAGAGATTCTGTCCAACCTAAGAATTGCAACTTGGTCTGACAGCAACCATTGCTGTTGAAAGCAAAATTTGAATACATAAAAACAGCTATCTATACAGCTGGTTTGAGAGAAATATACAAAATGTATGTTATTACTAAGATGAATACCTAGCATCCACCTCTGTAGATACCCTCCCAGGGACAATTTTCAAAATTTCTACTCCAAGCAGCACAGAGAGCATGTCCATGGCATTCTCAACTTTCTCTTCTAGTGATGATCCAACTTTGTTTCCATACTGAATAGCTTTTTCAATATGTGATTTGTAGTGAGGCAATTTGGCAGCTGCTAACATCAAAGATGGATTTGTTGTTGCATCTGTTGGTTTATACTTCTTCATAGCTGGAAAATAAGCCAATACTTCAAACATAGTCATAAGTGGAGAGTTGCATCTTTATACAATGCTAAATTATCAATATAACATCTATATAAATATATGTATACAGGGCGATTCAAAAGTCGTGACCAAAAATCAAACATCATACACAGGACCGCATTTTAAGGGGAGTCTTCTATGTAACATTTTTTTCTCGAGGGCTTCATTCTAAAGATACGGGGTGTTGAAGTTTAGAAATAAATATCTTCAAAACCGTCAACTGCAATGAACTAAAATTTGGTATGTGGATTTATCTTAAAATCAACGTAAATCAGTGGCGGAGAAACAGGGGATTAGTTGCATAAAAATAGTACGTCATGTTTTTTTCGAAACGCACAATTTTACCCCAAAGGTTTTTACGAGTTCATTTCTAAGACTTTGGCAATATGGAATTGCCAAACTTCTCGGAGTTAGAGGCCATGGTGTCCGGCATACTGTTCAAGAGGAACTGGAAGTGATCAATTTAAGATTGCAGCCCAGTTACCATGTTCCCAAAGTCTTGCGTGGAGAATTTTAAATCGGGAAGTTTTACATGCTTACCATCGGCAAAATGTGCAATGTTTGCAATCCGGCGATGAAGTGTAACAGCGAATTTTTGGGAGTGGTTACTGCAAGTGCATAATCAAAATGCTGATTTTGGTGATTTGGTTTTCTAGTCAGATGAATCGCTTTGTACGAGGAGTGGAACCTTTAATTTTCATAATGATATTTGCTCGTTAGAAAATCCCCGTTCTGTAAGAATCCACTCGTTTCAACACAGATTTTATAGAAATGTCTGGAGCGGCATTTTCAATGGCCAACTGTTTATGCACGTATAGCTACATTGTTTAAATGCAAATTATAATTAGCTTTTCTAGAGAATTACATAGAAAATGTGTTAGATGATGTTCCGTTAGTAAGACCGACCCTTATATTGGCATGCGAGGTCTCCTGATTTCAAACCCCTGGATTTATTTTTGTGGGGCGCTTTTAAACAACTAGTGTATGCTGAACAAATTAATACTGTTGAGCAGTTACAAGAAAAACCTTTAGGGCTTCAGATACTTTCATTCCAAGGCCGTATGCTCCGATGTTCGATTTTCGTCCGCCGGCGCGCATGACGTCGCGCGGAGAGTGACTCTCATTTAGATTGATATGGATAACGTGCATATTTTCACCTACAGGCCAAACGGCTGGACGGATTTTTACATATGAGGTGTCGTTGGATTCGTCATAGCGGTGCGAGTGACCCTAGCTGCATTGAAATTTTATACAGAAGTTCACCTATAAAATTTTGCTTTTTTGTCACTATTCCGTCCCCATTGAATGTAGTAAATACCTTGTTCAGCTTCTCAATTTGATTCATGAAAGTTGCGGAAGGTTTTGATAATCCACACTCACTAAGATGGTTTATCCATGAATAAGTTTCATTTGAGGAACTTTTCAACCTTCAATCTTGCAATTTATTGCAAACAAAGCCGGCCAAATTTTCCAACCCGTCATACTCGAGCTCATCTATTTCTTCCACTAAAACTTGCTCAGTATGGTCAGCTGATACTTCAGGTGCATTCAGTTTATTCTCGTTAATGATGCAGTTAGTGGTTAGTGGAATGTCTGGAGTATCCTCTGACTCTACGCTGCAATAGGCACTCTGAGTATGCGCCTTCGTTTCGCACTAACATATATGACCTTATTCTATACTTAAACTCTAGAGGACTTGTATGGTGATGAAGACCATCTTTTGCCCTGATTACTCCGAAAAAGTTTTCTATCACATCTTGATTAAGACGTCTTGTAAACAGGTATTGGACGCTGAAGCGTCGTTTCAGATCCTCTAAAGCATTTTCTAGCAAACCCTAGCGCTTTTTACATTGACTTTGTCTTATCTTTTTGTGAGATGTATCCATTTTTTTGCTGAAGTTTGGTTCTTGAGGAAAACTGTGGAACTTCATGTCTTTGCAAAGATTCCGTTTAGATTGATTGTCGGAATTACATCCCACAACAGCACACCGCATTTTTATGAATTTATCAACCACACAAGGTATATAAGGTCTGTATAACTGATACAACAAGTCACAAAACCACCAAAAAACACCACAACAAGTCACAAAACCACCAAAAAACACCAACAAATCGCACTATATTAACCACGATACACGTGAACTGCAGTAACGTTACGACAATCCTGCCGCTGGTAACCACGAGCCGATAACTCTCCGGGTGACGTCACGAAGCTCCGCCCACATGCGCAATATCCTATCTTCAGTGTATGTGTATCGTGGTTTCATTCCTTATTGTTAAAAAAAATTGTAATACCTTTGTCCCCTTGCACTGACTTGAGGATAGTAAGAATTACTGGGGAAGGGGATTCACAATACATTTTCTTATTTGGTATATAGGTTAAGAAATATGCCTAAATAGGAACTCTTTTCAATAAGCCATTGTGGTCAATTATGCAGATTTCTTAGGTTAGTAGTGAAAAAAAAAACTGTTGAAAATGTACTTTTGGTGACCTCATGGAGAGCATAATTATTATTGATCTCAAGTGTTGCACCTCTCGCCTGGTTTATTCATTTTTCTTATATTCATACAGTTACTTAAGGTCTGGAGAACATTGCCACATTGTGCCAGGATGCTGGAGGTAAGAGGGAATCACTTACAGACATACAGATGGTACAGAAAGGTGTCAAGATATTATCTGGTTGGCTTTTACCATAGATTTAACGCTACACACATTGATTAGGTTTATAAGGGTCCAATTGATTGATATGTACAGTAATGGACAAAAGTACATAGACAAATATGACTATTTACCTAAATACCATTAGAAAACGAATTCATACTTCATTGCTCCATAAACAAATGTGTTAAAAGTAGCAAAACTAAATTCCTTGTTTTTATATTATATGCAATGAACACAATACAAGTCTGACTATAAGCACTTTTTTATGAGGAACAAAAATATGTAGACAAATTCTTTTCAACATTAGTACAGTTTAGTGTCAGAAGAGGATCAGTTTGTGTTCATCAAGTATTGTGGAATAAGTTGATTGATTTTAAGACCATGCCGTGTGGTCCAGAAATTTATTTCGATGTGAAAACTAAGATCATTGAGTATACAAAGATGGTAACATCAAGTCGACATTACCAAAAATTTGAAGCTAAACCGTGAAGCAGTTTGGGCAATATTGAACAAATATACACAAAAAAATATCTTGGAAGCCTCTAATGAAAGTAATTTCGTCCAAAGATCTGTTTAAAACTTCAAGACAAATAAAAGCCGAAATCGAGACAAAAGGAATTGTCAGTGTTTCTACGAAAACTATAAGTAGAAGATTAAATGATTTGAAGTTATTTGCACGTCCGTCGCCCGAGTAAGAAGCCGCTAATCTCGAGGAAAAACCGTAAATACTGATTACAATTTGCACGGTTGCATCTTGATTGGAGCATCTGTGACTGGAAGAGGGTATGTTTCAGTGACGAATCCAAGTTCAATATGTTTGGATCAGATGGTGTTCATTACGTTAGACGTCCTAGTGGAGAAAGATTGAACCCCAAGTATACTGTTAAACATGGAGGCGGGGTCTGTTATGGTTTGGGGGTTCTTTTCGGAGTTTGGGATGGGACCTTTACACAGAATATATGGCATTATGGATAAGTTTGTATACACATACATACTAAAGCATGTCATGTTACCCTATATAGAAGACAATATGCCCTTAAGATCAATCTTCCAGCAAGATAATGACCTGAAGCATACTCACACAAATCTCGCAAAGAAATTCTTTCTGGATGGAAAAATACCAGTTCTCAAATAGCCTTCACAGTCTCCCGATATAAACCCCATCGAAAAATCTATGGGCATTCTTAGATAAGCAAATATGAGATAAAAATTATTCAAACAAGGATGAACTTTTTGCCGCTTTCGAGCAAAAGTGGAGACAGATTGATGAATCTTATATCAAGAAACTTCTACAATCTATGCCGAGACGATGCCAGGCGGTGATTGATAATAATGGTTATGCTACAAAATATTAACACAAACATGGTTGGTTTTTAATTCAATGAACTTTGCTTCTTTTTTCTATAATTGAAGGGTCGGTCGGAACAACGTTGTATATAACATTTTTCTATAAAATGAGATTTCCGTAAAACAACGTAGTATGTGCCTATTGGGACCCGTTGACAACATAGACCCACCAGTTTACTCGCATCAATCACTGTGACGCGAATTTGTAAAGCGCGCCATTTCAGTCTTCCACGTAACAACGTTGTATGTAGGTAAGCAAAAAAGAATATCTATGGTTTATGAACCATTCCAGTGGGTCAATGTCATTGCTAAAGCCAAAGTTAAATATCCTTTTAAAGATGTCTGGATGCACCAAGCCTTCTTTGAGAATTCAACAGCTTTGGAATGTTGTATATGGAAATACACCAAATGTAAAATTACACAAGGATTGTGGCTGCAACTTACCGCTGATTCTCCAGCTACTTTGAGAATGAGAAAATCTCAAAATATTATGCAGCCCTGGAATTCATTTCCCATAAGCAATCGTAAAAGAAAAGAAACAATGACTTTTGCCACTGAAATCATATCATCTGAAAAATTACCTATAATGTATCAGAACCTTCTTCCAATCAAAGATGAAAAATTAAAAAACCTTGAGGATATGAGTGATTATATTCTGCTTAAGTATGTAACATTTTATTAGAAATTAAATGCAACCCAGTAATATTTATTTAAGTTTCAGTTTTGGTTTCGAAACACGTTGATGAACTTAGAACGTGTTTTTTTGTTATTAAAAATATGTTACTGTGTACTTTGGTTCCTTTAATAAATAGAACTGCTGAAAATACTTGTTTTGCTTGTAGTCATTTAAAGCGTCCCTGTAACAACGTTGTAAGTAACGCTATCATACAACCTTGTTACATGCGTTTTCCATAAAAATGGTTCCCATAGCAAAATAGGTATCACATTTTTAAATTACAATAAATATTGTTCCTTTATTGTGCTGGCCAACTATAGACGCAGTCATTTGAAAAAAATTATTCAAATTTGTTTTTCTTATTTTCGGCCACTGAGCTGTTTTGTTACATACAACGTTGTTCTGGCCGACCCTTCAATTGTTTTGCTTTGTCTATAAATTTTTGTCCTTCATAGTTCCAGTTTCGTTCATTAATTTTTCATTGAAGGGAGTCTAATGAATTTATTTATATATAAGTGAGTATTATGCTATAAGGAATTATGTATACAGGTTGGTGTATTAATAAAACAAGTTAAAAAAGAAATACAGCACAATATTAATTTGTCTATATACTTTTGTCCATTACTGTACATGTATCATCACTTTATAACAATTACAAGAACAGTTTTATTCATATTTCAGGTTATCTGAGTACATATTTGGATCATTCTGCAATATTTATTCGTTTCATAACACCCCTCCATTAACAATATTTATAGATTGTCCATTATATACAGAAATGACCAAAAAATTCTGATAAGCGATAATGCTTAAACAGAAGTTCATTATCAAATCAAGGTCACAAAGGTTAAGAAAGGACAATCTAGATACACCTAATGAAAGATGAGACAGCTGTATTATTGAAAAAGTATTGAGCAAATTTTGTTATAAGTAATTATGCACCTAAAATGACTTTATGCCTTGTAGATGGAAGACATAGATAACTTTGTAAGCAAGGGTCACATTCTTCAAAATATTCAATTTATTGTGTACAGTGATGAAAAATGCTAATGTTGCATAAAAATTGTTTGGAATATTCCATTGAATATTTAGATGGCTTCACTCAGATATTTTTATACTTGTTACTGGGGAAGCCATTACAACAGGTGATTTCAATGTGGGTAGTTTAAACAAACAAATTTTATTCATTATCAACTCACCTTCGAAGTCACCTGTGTCGGCGACTACAGTGGTCACAGATTTCAGTTGATCCAAGGAACTCATGATCTTGCTTTTCTTGCACTGAGGTTCCGACATTCTGTAATCTCCTTTATATTAATCTATATGAATGATAAATCAATGCAGTTTATAAACAAGATGCACAAACAACTTCGATAAAACAATATTGAATATGGGCAAATAAAAAAAAAAGAAAAAGTGCTTTATCGTTATTTTACGACGACCTAATGCGAAGCAGGTACGCTGTGTATGAAAGTAATGATAACTGTAATTTATGTAATGAACAGATAATTTATGTTGTTAAGATTTTATGTACGTAACAAAAACACATAACCTCAAAATTTCAAGGCGCTACCGCGCTGCACAGTGCACACAAAAGCGCCACAGATTGGAATCATGGAATCCCGTGGTGCCGAGCCACTAAGCTTAGAAAATGGCGGCTTTCAGACATTTGTTTTAAAAGTAGAGATGAGAAAATTGTAATGGCAAATATGAATAATATCCAAACTTCCAAACACTTACCCACTGAAAACTACATTTATTTGAAGGCTTGAGTTCAATGTGTACGAGAGAGAAGTGTTTATAGACAGATATGTTAGAAAGAGATAGAAGCCGCCTGGGTAGCGAAGCTCATCACCGCATTGCCTAGCAACGCTGACGCGATAATCTACCGCGTCGCCAATATGTTACACCAGTTCCTTGAATTAAGATGCCTATTTAAAATATGCGTTAGTTTATTCTTTACGCCCAAATAATGGTTTTATTTTGATGAATAAATGATTTCAGACCCTAGTTTTTGGGTTTAGATGAAATAAATGGGACCGAAACTGAGCGCAAACATGAAAGTTCTGAAATGTTTTACTATACTCGTATAGGTTTTTATTGAATGTTTGTTTTCAAAGACTATGCGATGTTGCCAGATTTTTATCAAAAAGCAGATACCTCTAGATTCAAGTTAGTCTGATCTCGTACCCAGTAGCTGGTACTCGCTTCGATTGCGGTTGTTTTTTTCTCATTTCGTCGGTTCTCCTAGTATAGGGTGAGGATCAAAATTGGCTGACTCCGTAATGTGTATGAGAGAAAAGCGTGCAATATGTCTGTTAGAAAGAGTACGCCAATGGCATCCGTGACTTCATTTTCGGGTTGCTAGGAAACGATATGCTTCTATCTCTTTCTAACACACGTATTGTACGCTTCTCTCTCATACACATTACGTCGTCGGTGGTATTTGGTTTTCAGTGTATAGGCTCCATGTATCTCGTCCTCGCAGTCAAAATGACGTGCACTTAAAGCTATCTCTAAACTTGTAGTATCCACGGCGACGAACAGATAACCGGAGAATAGCAGACAATTTGATTTTTTAATAACCCCAACATAAGCATTTTAAATTTCAAACAACAATGTTATTGTGCAATTTATTTTAGAATCTTCAAATAGTCAGGAAAAATAAAACGATTTTGCGAATCTTCGGTTTTTCCCATCTCCGGAAATACTCTGTAATGCGGAGCTTTCTATCAGTTTCTCATTTTAATGCATACGCATCTTTGGTCCCATTTAATACATCTCGTACCTCTCACCATTTCAGAGATCCCAACGATGAGGGGCGCATTTGAAAGAATAGTTATTTGTATTTTGTTTTCAAATTATGTGTAATATTGAGGTAAATCTTTCCAGTGTCTATGCGTAGGTGACTCCAAATTGAAGCCGAAAAGTATGTGTTTCTCTTGGAGCATCTCCGATCGTTGAGTAAGGGGTGTCCGGCTATAAATTGACCCCCCTTCAACTTTTTATATGATCTTCTAGTAGAAAAAGTTGAATATAAAAGTGAAGTGAAGTTTTATATGTAATATATTTTTTAATAAAGTTGTATTTTTTTTTAAATGGAATATCCGTTATATTTTCTGTGAAAATGACAGTCGCTTTTTTCCTGATTCTAAATATATATGGTTTTTTAAACTTCCTTTTATTACTTTAGTTTATGTGTCATTTAATCATATGTATTCCGGCCCTATACCAGATTGCATAGGCGGCTATATATGCATACTGGATCAACTAAGATACGCATGAGTGAATTACACACAGACTTTAAACAAAGTCACCTTTTTAAAATTATCTTAACCGGAAATTATGAGTACACATAGTACATAGTAAATTTTCATAAACTGCCGAGATTATAATCGGATAACTTTCCATACACTTGATATATGGTGTAATCTACCTACCCGTCATCATCGTCTTCCTTACACGAGCATCTTCCAAAGATCCCACTTGAATGAAAATATAGCTTTGCAGTAGATTTTAGCTGGAAATAGGGAACCCTTACCCTCATCAAGTAACAAGCCATGATTCTCAATCTTGCGGGTCCAGTAACACACAAATAAATGTAAAAATCTCAGGCAACTGCATTGGAATCCTTGTAATACGGTTTTACAAAATTTTGGTTGATGACAATGTTCTGACACATTAACCTAAAACAGCTTGCAGTAGATCTGGAGAAAACATGCTTATAGACTTGGGTCTTGGATCCTACAAGGACAGTTTATATTAAAGAATAACTCTCTGGGTCTTGTTTATTGATTTTTTGATCCAATTTATTTTACTCGTACCCTTCAGCGAATTTCTCATGTTACCAAAACTACTACTACTAGCCTGCTCTTCGAGAAGTGCAGTGTACCAATATTAAAATGATTTCTTTTTAAGGAGTGTTAAATATTACAACGATTGTCTGTGGAATTTTATATTTTGTTTAATATAAAAAAATATAACAGATTGAAAATTAACTGGCTAACTTGACGAAACAGACAAAAAGCTTATGTGCACATGAAAGAATTAAAAAAATAAAACAAATCTTCCTCATAATTTTTTACTTAAATGTATATAACTCTTAAAGGATAACAGAATCTTAACAAGAAATATATATTTCCTTGAAATCCCTCTGCAGCTGGGTGACCTAAAAAAATAATATCCAGAATAGAGTGGACTAAAAACAAATTTTTTAAATGCTGCTTGATGATTTTATACTAAAAAAATAAATAAGAACAGTATCGAAAGCCCATATAAAATCGACTACGCAAAAATCAAAACACATATTTAGAATCGACCTTCTTTTACTCTCAAATGTATAAAGAAAATTTAGAAATTCAAATATACATGGTATTATTTTTGGGTAGGAAGAATTTGTAAGTATTTTTTTGAAGTTAGACCTGAATTTCCTTTACCCTTGTTATGTATCACAAATGATATGACAAAGCAGGTTGAGTAAATATGCCAAGAGTAAAAAAGATTTATAGGGTGATTCAGAAAACAATGGCAATATTTCTAGACCAGAAAGCACATCCAAAAAAGTTCCTAGTTACACATACATTCGAAAATGTCTCATTACGAAGATACAGGGTGCTGTAAATTTCCGCTGATGAGACTGAATAAGGACAAAGCAAAAATACTGCTCAAATAACGCTATGATGAGAGAATATTACTCTCCTAATACACTACATAAAATTTTCAATGTCAAATCTTATTAATTTCAGCATTCTTTCAAGGTAGAAATGTAAACTTTTCTCCAAAATGAATAGTCTAACAAAAATTTCTTAATAGAGGCGATTTATGTGAAATTGGATGCCTTATTTAAAAAGTGCAATAGAAATGCAAACAGAATGATATAGAAAATAATTTTTGTCTTATACAGTGGTCAAAATTTGCCAATTTCTACGCCATTCAGGCACGAACATTTTTGTATGCATTGGCTATATGTTGTTGGAACTACATATACACAATTTTTGGTTAGCATTCTAATCCACTCCGAAGATATAGTTTTTTTTCGATTTTGAAATTATAAATGTAACACCCCGTATCTTGGTAAGAGGTCATTTTAGGACCTATGTTTATATAAGCCTTTCTTGTTATGTTTTATGTAATTTATGCCCTAAAAATATTTCTAGTTCTGAATCTCCGTGAATGCAGCGCTGAGGGACTAAAGACTCATCAACCATACATAATTGGTAATCTCATGAATCCGAGAATAATCGGTTGCCCTATCCCAATAAAACTTTCTGGAATTTGGGGATATTTGTTATTTTCCAGTTATTTACCTGCGCCTTTTTGATTTTGCTGCATTTATAGACATCTAACTCTTTCAATAATGGCAGGGTCAGACATGCTTCTCTGCAACTTTTTATTGTTATACCCACGCCTCTCAGACACAATGTTTTCAACCGTGTGAACATATGAAGTGCAGGTATCAGGTTTTCATCAGTGATCTCTTTACGCCCCATGAGAACTAACCTATAAGAAAAAAATAATTGTGGAAGAAACATAATTAAAAATAGTTATTATAGCTCTGATGGAATAACAACTAAATTAGTGTAACCGATTTCTAAACAATAAAAATGAGCTTAGGATCTGCATCATTTCCTATTGTATGGAAAACATCAACCGTTATTCCAATAGAAAGGGTAAGCAGAGCTGATACTTGTAAAGAACATACACCAATTCATATGGTAGTAGCATATGAAAAACTGGAAACTGCAATCAATGATCAAGATCGTGAATATGTGCAAGACAATAAAGAAAGCCAACGACATCTGATTGGAAGATTGCATTGGACAACACAAAATTGATAGATTTGGTTTTTTGGACTTTCGTAGAACATTTGAAACAATAAACAATTATTAATCAAAACGTTACATAAATATGATTTTGATACAAATTTGCAAATCCGGTTTTCTCAGTACTTGGAATGTAGAACCCAAGGATAAAATATTTCCATTCACCCTGCGTAACTAAATATAGGGTTGTCCAATAGGGACGCAGGAAAGTAAACGTCAATTTGACATAGACGCCATCTTTGTTTTCTGTCACCGACATGTCATTTTGTTAGTTGAATGTTTATCATTGATCGCTATGGAGTCGTATTCGATTGAAGACCGCATTAAAGTTATTCAAGAGCACTACAAAAATGGTGCAAAAATAAAAAACACGTTTCGCGCGCTTCGTGAACATTTCGGTCGCAACAACCGCCCAAACGAAACAACCATCGGTCGTCTGGTGCGTAAATTCGAGGCAACAGGTTCTGTGGCAAATCTGCCAGGCACTGGCCGGCCAAGGAGCGTTCGCACACCGGAAAATATTGGTGTTGTGAAGGAGAGTGTGAGAGACAGTCCGAAACAATCAACAACGCGTCGATCCCAAGAATTGGGCATTTCGAGAACCAGTTTGCTCCGCATTCTCCACAAGGATTTGAATGTACACGCCTACAAGATCCAATTGACGCAAGAGCTGCGTCGGGGCGACCATTTTTCACGCCGAACGTTCTCAGATTGGCTCCTTGAACACCGCCAAATTGATGCCAATTTATCATCAAAAATCATGTTCAGCGACGAAGCGCATGTCACTTTGAATGGAACGGTAAACAAGCAAAACTGCCGCATCTGGGCGAACGAAAATTCCCGTGAGTATCAAGAGCAGCCGATGCATCCTCAAAAAGTGACTGTGTGGTGTGCATTGTGGTCAAAAGGCATCATCGGACCTTACTTTTTCGAAAATGCGGCCGGGGACGCCGTTACCGTCAATTCTGAGCGATATCACGTGATGATAGAGGACTATTTTTTGCCGCAACTTGAAGGAATGGATATGGACGATGTTTATTTCCAACAAGACGGTGCAACATGCCACACAACCAACGTCAATATCCATCGATTGCAATCCTTCTTCGGTGATCGCGTGATTTCGCGCAGAGGAAATGTGCCATGGCCACCAAGATCGTGCGATTTGACTCTCTTGGACTTCTTTTTAAGGGGATATTTGAAAAGCAAAGTCTACGTCAACAAACCAGCCACCCTCCAAGAACTCAAAAACAACATCATTGCCGAGATAAATGCCATAGAACCGACCATGTTGCAAAATGTCATTGAAAATTTCGACCATCGCGTGGACGTCTGTAAATCCAGTCGTGGTGAACATTTGAGCGATATTATTTTTCATACATAAATGGTATAAATGAACCTTCAAAATAAAGTACCCAACTTGATTTGAATATCAATCTTTCTTGTTTTAATATGCGTTTACTTTCCTGCGTCCGTTTTGGACAACCCCATATAACGAACATGGCGTTCCACAAGGCACTGTATTGGGTCCAGAACTGCTTACAGTTTTTATTAATGACATTGTTAATGTAGTTAATGTCCGAAATACAACTTATTGCGGATAATACAAGTGATGATATGACATCCTTATCGAACGAGGATTTAAATAGTATACCGGATGTTTCACATTCAATGGATGGTTCCGTGATGTTTGGTAATTATAGATATAACGTGTAAATTAAATATTAGTTATCCATCAATTCGTGTTTCAAGTTATAGTTAACCAACGCGTAGCTATTGATCTGACAACTCTGCTTCTACGCCTGAACTACTATGTGCAATGTGCGACGCTCGACGTTTGTCTCATGATATCCGCGATAACTTATGTCACTGTTCAGCAAAAAGAAAAAAATTGCCAGAGAACAAAATAAATTTGAAATCGCCTAAATAATCACCCCTTGACTTGTTACCCTAAGTTTTGATAACACCATGAATATTAGCCGTCCTATGCTTAATCCTTTGAACTTACTTCTCCATATAAGGACATCCTGCAGCCAAATGTTGGATAGAATCTAGGTCTGGATCAGAGTCACATCCTGGCCCATTCCAAATCTCCAAAGTCCTCAGCTTGGTTAACCTTGCCAGTAATTTGAAATATCGAGATTTTAATCTCCTGTTTTCACCTAGTTCCAGCTCTTCAACTTCTGGATTATATTTCGAAAGTATTTCACTGATTTCATTAGTATTCACATTATTATTGCTCACTAAAATAAGTACACCGATATGAAAATACAAAACAAACATGATGACATGCTGGTTGAACCGGTACTTGCCAGGAATTGATATACGTTTTAGGTTTATTTTAAAATTATCCATACCCACACATTCTAAATTCTCGATAGACAAATGATCCATGACTGTTACCATTGATACCTACATGTAATTAAAAAAAGAACATTTATAGATTTTGAAAATTTGATCGGTCTAGATGTTTTTATATTTATACTGTACAAATGACAAAAAATATCAAAGACGAGGAAAAAAGATTTTGTGAGTTTTTCAGAATTTTTCCTTTTCTAACCAATTTTAAACGGCGCTAAAAATTCCCTAGAAAGTTATAAAAAATGAAAAAATGAAATTGGGAGTATTTGGAACTACACCTCTATTACACATTTTCCAAAAATGAAGTTGCATTAGATGCTATAACCATATTTCATCACAACACATGTATAATAATGTACATCCATTCACAGGTTTGGAATCGAATAGCTCTGATTTGATATATTTTGCAAAAATGTTCAATACAAGAGAGAAGTCTGAAATTGATAGACCAGGGTGTTCTCTGAGAGTTGGGTTTCTCCTTTTTAGAAATTGAAGATCCGCTTTGTAACATGTTGCTCGTAAATACTGTTCGAAGTAGCCGAAGTTGCATTTAAAAATATAACTTCTTCCCTAATTCGTAACATCCGGGGCTGTCTAGGTCTTGTTCTGTGGCCATCTCGAAGACGTTCCTACAAACGAGCCTCGTGCGAGATTAACAAACCAACGCGGCTTGGGATGGGAAACATCCGGGAAAGCAATCTGACTACACCCATGAAGTATCAGTAGCATCTTGAAGACATCATAATCTTACATCAAATTGATAGCTTCATTATTGTTCTAGGAATATGCCAATTTGCGTTTTTATGTATACAAACTGTCGGTTGCCCGGAGCACCGCGCAGCATCTGGAGGATACTGGTCTGGGCTGGCCAATTCACATTTTGCCGTATTTTATTATTACATGACAAAGTCCCAACTTTAAAAAAACCTTGAATAACCAACAATAGACAAATTCGCTGCAGTAAATACTACATAAAATTTACTCACATAGATGTATCTCCTTCAGTTCTTCATTATTCTTTAACAAACTATTCACAGTCTTTCCTGGAAAATGGCAATCTACGAATTTGATTTCTCTCAATGAGCTGAGTAAGTGCAAGGTGGTGAATGTACCTTTGCATCTAGCTAAACCAAGTTCTAAAAATAAGTATACTAGTAAGTACGGTAATGATGGTATAGGTATATGCTATACCTTTTAGATTGATACAATCGGCAATACATTCTAGCGTTTTACTGTCCTTGCAACTTTCAAAGTTCAGTTTTATGATATGTTCTCCACATTTTCTCAATAGTCTGTAAATATGTCCAAAATCATGATTTGATCGGAAAACCATTCGGTTATATCAACGAATTCAGACTTGGTAGAAAGAGCCAGTCAAGGTCAATAATTCTCATAGTCTGTAGTGAGGATCAAAGTGCACTTGACATATTTCGATTTTTTTAGAGTCCTGTCATTAAATTCGTATAATTAGACGATTTCAAAACATGGTACTGCAAAGAGCAGCAACGCAAGCCTAATGAAGGTAAATGTTTCCACCAGTAAGTATTATTATTATTATTATTATGATACAATACTGTCACTTTGGTAGGCATTAGTAGACAAATGAATCAAAGGTATCACACAATTTTAGCGACAAACAAAGCAGTCTAAACATATAGGCTTTGGCTTCTTCTAATCCATTCAAATTCGTTGGGTTATACAAGCTAACATACTGTAGCTGAAGACAGCCAACCTAATTATTATAAAATACAGGGTGTCCCAAAAGTCAAGGAGCAAAGTGGTTGAACATTCTTTCAACCTGCTTTATCCGCCTACTAATATTTGTACAGGCTTGTTCACATAGCTTTTTTTCCAGCAACCACATCATTTGGGTACATATCCTGCAAGTCTAATTGAAAAATAACAAAAGACAACTTCAAAAGTAGCAATTTTCTACAAATTCTTAAAATGGCGATACTCAAAAACCGTACACAATCGGATGATATACGAGTATAGTCCTTCCACAGAAACAAAGCAGTTACGTCATATTTAGTAAATTTGAATGCCAACCTTAATGCAAAATAGATCCTAAATTGGTACGTATAGCTTAAATTTCCCGGGTACATTTATGTTGGTAACAGTTTTCTGTCAGGTAATTACGCGAACGGTTTATTTCCTAGGATCTAGTAGTTTTAAGTAATGTGGCAACCACGTGCGTCACTGTCATTATTTGATGTTGTGACGCAACTGCTTTGATTCAGTGAATATATTGTATGTTTTTTCTGGTAGCAAAGGACCCCCATCACCCCCACTCGTTTGATCCATGATTTTTAAGACACCCTGTAGTGTCATCTACGAGAATTTGTCACAGCTGTTTCTCCTTTCTGCACTAATTAGAAATCTACTCTGAAAAGTTTTTTATCTCATATATGCTATATGCTAATATAGTATTAGGTTGGATATCGTCAGCTAGAATGCTCTAATCAATGCTATATAACAAAAGTTGTGTTTATAGGAAACGAGGTGTTTCTTTAAAATACTGTAGAAATAGTTATATTTAATTAGAGTGATTATAAAAATTGACAATTTTGAAAACCAATAAAAAAAAATACGCTCTCCCATAAATAGATAATGCATTTCAACTTTATAGTTCAGATGTTAAGACTATACAAAAAAGTTACTCACATTTGTACATATTCATTGAACTCTGAATAATCCTCGGTTTCAGCAGAGTTATTAGTAATAAAGGCATTAGACGTTTTATATATTATGTCTACTTCTTTTGGTCTTGTACATCTTTCAACCAGAGATGCTACCAACTTGATATTCATGTCATACTGAAACAATAATCAATTATCAAAAATAGCGGTTGACTACTTTCCACGTGATTTGATCCTAAACTGGCTGTTTGCTGTAGCCCAGTTGGCTTATATTAGGTTTACATCAAAAATAAACGCCATATGAATCATGATTAAACAAATCGATGAGTTGATGATTTTGATTATTATTGGAGAACTTAGGAATGCTTGCTTTTGCATCCAAATACCTTCTAGGAACACATACGCGTTTTAGCTACAATATATTATACTACCCTTAACGAAAATGTATATGCAGAAAGAGTCGAGCCTTGTGCTAGACTGTCAAAATCTGACTATCAAAATCGTTACACATTGTTAGAAACTTTATTTTAGAAGACCACCAAAGTTGCAACAACTTTTTTTGGAGAACAATGCAAATGAATCAGTCATGTTACAAGCCTAACGTAACACAATTTTAGTTTCAATTATAAATTGCTGTAAAATCAAGTCACAGAATCAAATTAGCTAAATAACTGATCAGAAAATTATATATACATAAATTAAACTTAAGAAAATACAGTTTACAACAACAAAAACAGTTTATAGTTTATAATATTACCTACATGGATAAATAGTAAGCAATCCTTTGAAAACACTACGATTTAAAAACGAAAGGATATGAAATAGGAACAAATCAATTTTGTTGCTTATGAACGTATGGGTCGACTATAATTTAAAAATTACGAATTTTCTTGTTCCAGCAGGAAAGCCGCAGCACGCGTGCATGTTCACGCAAGTTTTCGTATTATAAATTTAGACAACAAATATTTTTGAGCGAATATAGAAAAATAATGAAAATAAGTTATTTCAAAGTTCATTATAGTCATATTTAAAGAAAAAAATCAGTTCATATTAATAAAAATAAAAAAAATCCCAACTTAATCAAAAACATCAGATTTTTTTATATTTTCAAAAAAATATCGTGATTTTTTGCAAACACTGCCAATAAAAACTGTCTCATTCACAAAAATAAATCATAGAAATAATTTTTTCGATGCTCATTAATGAAAACTACACTTAACCTATGAACATGCTGTATGTTTTAAGTTTGCATGTTTTAAAATCTTTTTAGGTACCTGACATAATCACATTCTTATCAAATATGACAATAGTGGTTTATTAAATAGTACACAGGGTGACTTTCTCAGTGTGGGAATGCCTAATATTTGTTAATATTATTCTAAACTATACCATTATAGCATAACCGTTTTCTAAATAAATTTTACTCAACTCATATATCAATGGTGTAGTGCATAAATGTTGTAAGTAATTTTCCTTTAAAAATAGTTATATTCTGTTGCTGTATGTGATTTGTAGTGAGAAGAATCATATCATATCATCAATCAAAGGCATAGGAAAAGGTATACCCTATTTCACGTGTATCCATCACGCTTTGACGTCTACTGAGGTGAACAGCTGATCAGCAAGTGACATTTTTGTGTTAGTTTGCAATGTTAGCAATAATGGATCGGGCATAAATCAAGTAAAACTTGTTTGTGGCGTTTTGTTTTTTATATACAAATGGACTTTACTAAATAAAAGAGCCGTTAGCAAGTACAAAAAGAATCCATAGCAGACAAAAAACCAAACAAAATTCGGCTCTGTCTACCTGGCGTTGACGGATCCGTCAGAATTATGTGTCCTGTGCCGATATGGGGAACTTTGAAATGTTACTAGATAACCAGCTGTCATTCTACCATGATGAATACTCGTGAAATAGGATTTAAGGGCTGTATGACACCTCTCAAACTTATGAAGTTTGAGTTGAACTTTTCATATGGTACCTGTCAACCTAGAAAAGTAAGTGAGCAATATGAGTCAATCCTCCAAATATAGTAGCACTAGATTAAGATTTGGATTTGTCTTTACCAATATGAAAACTTTAATTCGATTTTAAAATGTCACTTGTGATTTTGTTGATTAAACTAAATGATCCTAGACATAAATCTGCTACAATCTAAATCCCTCATATTTAAGATTATCTAAACCCTACTCAATTATAAATATAGTGACTACTTCTTTCCTTACTGTGTTATCTAGCCCTAATATTCAGGGGTGATCCATAGATACATAAATACAGAAAATAATTTCCCCTGATTTTACATGTCTTAAACACAGACCTCAACAATAATCACTTCAAGCTGATTTATTAAAAAAAAAATCTATCACTAACACATTACTGTTGATTAAGCTGTGAAATTATGGAATAGTTTTAAAAGTAATTAGAAAAGCTTACCCTCAATGATACTTTTGTATAGAGTGAACCATCTTTCGAGATATTGTAAAATGTCGAGCATAAGGCAGCACAGTTGTTAATTGATTTCAGATCCAGATGTTGGAAGATGATTAGAAGAACTTCTTTCTAAAAAAGTATTTGAAAGCATAAAATTGGATTCTCTAAGAAGCTGTAAGTAAATGAAACGGTACAAATTTGAATACTGCAAGAAAATTTAATCCAGTATCCTGCTCAATGTTGATAGAACATATCACCATAGTTAGATTGTATTTGTACAGCTCATTAGATGTAGAATTTTTTATATAACTAAATACATTTCAAACACTCCAAATGTTATTCCCTGGACTATTGATTATAAAGGTAGATTGCTGACATCAACAGTACTAAGAGTCTGAACACATTAAGCTTGATCAGAATGCAACATATAACTTGAAAGGAGACATTGCCTGATCATTACTTTTTGATGCTTTCAACTCAATAAAATAGGCATGTAGCAGGCAAAACTACAACTTCTCAAGTTCATTCAGGATACTTATGGCACATAGTAGTAATGGGAACTCTACTTTTGGGGAAACTAATTGTATCGAGCATGGATTTGCTCTTAAATTGTACAGTTTTCCCCGATATATCAATGTAACAACTAGAAAAAAGATAGATCTTTTGCAAGTTACTCATGTAAAGAATGTTACTCAGGTAGCTGTTATCAGTGTTTCTATTGCAGTTTTCCAGCCTATGCACTTTTTTCTGTAAGTGGTACTTAGAAGAGTATTTATTTCCTGCAAATTAATAAGTGCAAAAGTGGTACCGGTAGTGATGCCAAATCACGTTTTGCAGGATCTTTTACAGATACACATTTTGCCTTTTTCTTTGGTGGACCTTCCTTGTTTGTATCAGGTACAGATTTTGAAGTTTTCTTTAGGTTAACGTCTTTGTTAAGGAGGACAAATAGCGATTGATTATTACTATTGTCCATTTTTCTGGCCGGTAGCTTCTTGCATTCCAGTATCACAACTAGATATTTTTTGTTGGATTCTTCCGCTAGTCAGCTGATTTTGCTATGTTTTTGTTCAGAAGAAAAAACGATAGACCGTATTGAACTCATAAGAACTACAACTTTGCGGTTGCGTTAAGCAAATAATAGAAAATAGCAATGACAAATTTAATAAAAGCCGGAAAGTGTCTGAAAAAAGTATTTGTTTATAAAATGGCTGTCATGATTGAAGAACACAAAACTGTGACAAGACAAAAAAGACAAATGACACGGAACGACTTAAGGCTAGACGGACGAAGAGGCCAACGAATTACCTTATTTTTACTTAGAGGGTTACGCCATCTTCTAGGGTCAAGACGGATGGTCGTATACTACAGGATGTCCGAGAAATACCAGTATGTGTCGTTAGACGTAAAACGCTAAAAACACGTGTGCCTCAAAACTTAGTGAAAATGAATAAGCCTTTTAGATGTTTAGTGGAATTCGTTTAAAATACTATACAATAAAAACTATATCTATCTCTAATTTTGTATGCCTTTTGATCTTCAGTTGTCTTTTTATTCTAGACATTCAACGTTATTCTAAGGAAATTACCTTGAAAATCGTCGATCAGACCAAATATTTCGTGTAGTTTTGAAAATTGGTGGAGCTATTTCACACACGTTTTGTCATGCTTTGTAGGTTCATTACTTCGTGGTTTGATAATATTATCCAATATTTCTGCACAGAACATAAATTCAGGTCAAGCTGGCTGGTTAGTATATCAAAAGAGTCTGTGTAGAAGGTTGAAGTATCAATGGCTTCCGAGATACAGGATGCGCAAGTCATCGAAATATTGATGGAAAATATTTCCCAGTTTTAGCCAATCATAGAAATTATTTAGGGAAAAACGCAAGCGTAACCCTACGGTCTCTTTGGACGTTGATTACAAAAACAATAAATGGCTACTTAGTGTTGCTTTAATCCACCTAATGTATGAACTGGTAATATGTTGCTTATGTATTATTCTGAGTAAACATCTTAATGGCAGATTAGGAATTACCTCGCAATTAACACCTCCGAAGCTTCATGGTTGTTTTTAAATGCAACTGCAACTAATCTACTGAATGTTTGCCACAGTACAGTCCCGCTTTTAGTCTTTCGTGGATTGGATTCCGTGTTCAAACAGCAACCATTTCTGTAGTACTGTAGCGTGTTTTCCGGGTTCTTTTGGGTGTGGATTAAAACATTGGATTCCACAAAAAGAGATGCACTAATTTATTTAACTTGATAGAATATTTATGTACGCCACTATTTATGTCTGACTAATTCTTATGTCGCCATTGACTGCACTATACTCCACTCCGCTCTGCTACTCTACCGTATTCAGTACCTTCCATCTCCCGGCCGCCGAGTTATATAGCCCGCATCGTTCAGTCTAGAAGAATCGGGAGCCACATAGCGGCCTTCCCAAATAGTCCAGGTTGCTTCGCGTCGATCCACTGTCGCGGTCCTCACAGACACCGCCAAGCGACTTGTGCGGTCGTGGTTCGCGTAAAAGCAGATATCGTCCATGAAGCTATGGCGAGTAGGAGAGTCGCCCAACAGATGGCGCCAACAGTACTATTTGTCACAGTACTTTTCAATATTACACAGCAGTTACCTATAAGTATACATACCTAGATTTCAATTTTTCATACATATGGGAAACATTTCGCGGTGAAATTGCCAAAATGCACTATGTTGTTTTCCTTAATATGCTGGCTGAAATTATATCAGAAAGGCAAGCTTGCATACCAACGGTTGCTGATTTACAGGGTGCACAGTCCATATCTGCTTACCGATATTCTACCAATCTGCTTTCCTGAGTCCACCTCTACAACATCGTTCTATACATAATTCGGCTAGATTGATTATTAAAGTTTCCGCGTCTCAATCCAGTCAACCCATACACTTTTCGAGTGGCTAATAATTATTCTTTATATGAAGAATATTAAAGGTATACAGCAGTGATGTACATAAGTCATTACGCTACTCCCTCTCATTTTTGTACTTGACCTAAGCACTTGACAAATGTAAGCCGAGACCAGGGCCGGTCCTAGGGTGGTTAGCGCCTACGAGCAGGACTTTTGGGGCGCCCCTATGTTTTGAATTTAAGATGATAACATAATCTTACAATGATATATGTCATCATACGATTAATATAAAAAAGAAAAATAAAACGACCCAGTTTGAAGGATTTATTTTTTTAATGCCACATAAAAAAGGTCACTGCAATACAGTAGGAGGTTAACACAACAGTAGAAATGCGTGAATTAACATGAGATTCTGGAATATTACAGAAAAATGATACTATGAGTACGTAACTAATAATAAATAAAAAACACGACAAGTCTTGCTTTCACAGCTGCAAGCTCGTCGATCATTCCATTGTTGTAGTTTTAATTGAAATAATTGCCAAATCTGACAGTCTTTCTTGACACATTGATGTGTAATTTTTCATAAGATTCAATTTCGAGAAATTCCTCTCGCCAGAAATTGGTAGGGTAAAGAATATCCTTAAGGCTATAAATAAATTTCGGAACAAGTAGAGTAAAGTCGGCATATATGGAATACCAATTATTCGTATAGCGGTAACATCAAAACTGAAGTGTTTGGAGCTGCAATATTTCATTAATAAATAGTTCTAAGTATCTCCAAAGAGTGACAGGTGCTAAATTAAAAATTAAATCATATTCGATAATTTTACGAAAACATTTAAAAAAAATGCATTTTTGTTGGAAAATAAAAAATGGAGGGTAATATGGAACGGGCATATCGGGTAATATGGAATAGACTTATTATACGCAAAAAACTTCACTAAAACCATTTAACTTCAGAACATCGGTATACTCGTATATATATAAGTATATCTAAGTATATCTAGGAATCGCAAAAAACGCAAACAAAAACATCTTTTTCTGCACTGGTACAAGCTTCGTGAGCCCAATTATAGCAGATTACGCATTGCACCCATATTTCTTTACTTCGGCTCGAGGAAAACTTTTCCAGGCAAAAAATACATGGGACATCTTCACCGGTTGGATTTTTATTTTAGCAGCTTAATGGCAGATCTTCATCAGATGAGTCATCAACTACTGCTTCAGATTGTGAATCAGAAGAACTAGAGGAGACATATTTTTTTGTGACTTTACGCTTTTTGTTCTTTAATCCACTAGGTCCAGGTTCATCGAAAACGTTTCGGATAACTTTTTGTTTTGAGAGATTAATTGATTGCTCTAATTCCTCCTTATCGGGCGTCGACGTAATTATTTTAGTACGCCCACATTTCCTTCCCCGAGTTGCCGGCTTCTTTGTTAGTTCTGGCACTGGAACTATGTCACTAGGATAAACATTAGGCGAGTTATTTTGCTCGTTATGAGCACGTGTGTTATTGTTCGGCAAATTTTGATTTTCCTTTTGCATTTCGGCCGCAAACTCTTCTTCTGTAAAATATTCCTTCTTAAAGGGTAGATCCCAGTGGCACTAAACCCTTTAACGGCTCTTTCCCCAGATTGCACTTTAAGATAGGAGCTACCAAATAACTGGCAAATATCAAAATGCGTTACTGCACGTTTTTCCGTCCTCATGAAGATTCTCACTTCTTCGTTATAAAACGTCTTTAATGCACCCATGACGGTCTTATCAAGGGGCTGAAGTTTATGCGTCGTATGTGGTGGTAGTGGTAGGCATAAAATAGTAACATGATTGTCTTTAGCTTTGATAAGTACATCTAGATTTCTTGTATGAGTATGGTGGCCGTCTAATATCAGCAGTATTGGTTTTGTTGCTGAAGGTTTGGCTTTTTCTAGGAAATAGTCAAACCATTTTGTGAATAAGTCTGTTTGAATCCACCCGGATGGGTGAAAAGCAAACAGGGATCCTGGAGGTTTTTAGCTGGTCACTGGCTTTCTTGCGTGGAAAGATGATCATCGGTGGCACAAAATCACCTGCCGCACTCATACACATTACGATGGTTATAAGTGAACCTCTTTCTGCAGATGTGATAGCACCAACTTGTCGTTTGCCTCTAAGCGATACCACTTCTGGACATCTTGATTGCACAATGGACAACCCCGACTCATCTACGTTATATATTTGGTGAGGTCCATAATTTCGCTCCGCCATAGTCTTCTCTAATAAGTCGAAAAACTCGGTAACATTTTCCTTATTAAAACCAACGGCTCTTGCTAGGGAAGTTCCAGTGGGCTTTCGTAAACTTAGTGTATTCTTATGCCTGTGCATGAATGATGAAAACCAATCTTTTCCCGCAGATTCACGTAAAAGAGAGAATGGATGTGGTATATTGTTACGTTTAGCAAGTTGGAATGCTAAGGATCGAACATCCCTTCTTGTCGGACCAAAAAACTTCTGATCCATTATAAGGGACCTCGGTTGGCCGCGTGGGTCAGAGTGTCGTGCTACTGATCAGCCGGCCGGCAGGGCCGCGAGTTCGAATCTCGCCTTCGCCATGGATGTTGTGTGTTTGTTTTAGGCAGCAGCGGTGGCCGCAGTAGTAGACTCTTCGGTCTCCTGATCAGTCGCCGTGCGCTGTGCGGGTTCGAGTCCCGTCCCAGGAGAAATTTTTCTCTTGGCTATGGATGTTGTGATTGTCCGTAGGTGGTAGATGGTCTCTGACTGTCGAACGCGGAGGTACCACCCGGCCGTTCTCGTAGGCGGAGCCAGAATGTGTGCATGTTGCATGCACACGTGTTCCCTCGCCAGAGTCCGTGTGGCGTCCCCCCTTTTCCCATGTATCCCCCTATAGCCCCACGGTACCCAATGGGTGCTTAGGCCTTAGGCCTTCGTGGTAGTTGGAGTATAAAAAAAAAAAGTAAATATCGTACTAGTTCCTCTTCTAACTCCGCTGACAAAATTGGTCTTTTACCCAACTTCGTTTTACTAACAGTTGCTGGAGGCCCTTCAGTATTACAGAGGCGAAAAAGTGTTGAGCGTGGAACTTTATATGCTCTTGCTGCGGCCAAATAACCCATATCTTGGTTTCTTACTGATCCAATGGCGTTTTCCATATCTTTCTCACTCCATTGTTTTCGCTTTTGCTTTAAGGGAGAAGCCATTATATCTGAAAATAAAAAAACCTTACTTTATACTTAGCGGGTAATATGGGATAGCAATAGGGCGGATAATATGGAATATTCCATATTACACGCTACACAAAAAGTACACAAAACAAGTACTCTATTTGTTATCATGAAAAATATCA